AGCGCCCAAAGGGAAACACCAACTACACTAACTACACAAACTACACAAACTACATATACTACACCAACTACACTAACTACAAATACTACACAACCTTCATATTCTACACCAACTGCAAATTACAAATTACAAATTACAAATTACAAATTACAAATTACAAATTACAAATTACAAATTACAAATTACAAATTACAAATTACAAATTACAAATTACAAATTACAAATTGCGACAGGTATTACAAAGTGCGACACGATTTATTACAAATTGCGACAGGTATTACAAATTGCGATGGATTTATTACAAATTGCAACAGGTATTACAAGGTGCGATGATCATTACAAATTGCGACAGTGCAACGTTCAGTCTTTAAACCTGTCATCTGCAGTTCAGTATTACAGCAAGAGTTTCCATGACACTAAAACGTCAATTAGTGCAAAGACTCACAGACCATAAAACAACCCGTACTTTTTGTGTAAGCCAAGAACGCTGACTAGTCGAACGAATGGTCTGAAGCAAAACGAATGGTCGTTCCCTCTTGTCTGGAGCATAGAAGGTTTGGCGGGGGAGGGGGAGAGTGAGTGAGACTGAGGAGAGAAGCGAAAAATACGTCTAAAAAAATACGATAGAAACTGACAAAGAAAAAATAAAAGAAAGAAAACAAGAAAGAAAAAAAAATAAGACAGTTACGCCGTCTAATTAAAAAAAGTTGAAAAGTTAGTACTACCAAATCCGTCCCTGCAGATCAATAACAAAGCGCCAAAAGTGCTGGACGCTCAAGTTGAATATATACTATAAAAAGCTGAAAATGAAGGAATGCTCGTATTTAACCTGTAACAGGCCTTCAGATAGTTGGAAAAAAGCAAAGAAAAAGTGAGCTGGAAAAAATGCGAAGGGGCGGGGTTAGGGAGAGAGGGCAAAAGGTCCTTCTACTCTCTCACTCTTACTCTCTTCAACGTTTGTTTTCCTCGTCCCTCATTTCGCACCACTGTCCACTACGCTTGGAACAGGCTAGTTCATAGTGGGCCAGAGAGTTTTTTCCGCTGCAAGTGATCTATGGATGTCCATTTAGGAGCATTTGACATTTTAAAAGCTCATACTCAAGCTGCAACTATTCCTGCTTTAGCATGTGTAAAACGCCACTTTTTTTTTCTGTTTTCCGTTTTGCTGTAGAGGAAAGTTTTTGGCGATTTGTTTTTGATGATGGTGTTTCATCGTCGATCGAAACGAGTTAAAATATTATCTGAGACGTCGTACATGTATACTTAAACATAATTACTTGAAGGAGAAAACTCGCAAGAAAAAAGAAAGTGTTCTAATTAGTTAATATTGGTTCTCCCCGTCTTAAATTTAACGTATTTTTGCCTTTTGACGGATGCTTAAATTAATAAAACGCACCACGGTACTTGTTTAAAGTCTGTTTTCGCTGGGCTAGGTCGTCGACGTCTTGCCGACGTCGATGAAAAAAGCCGACTTTTGGGCAATTCTGCACTAGATATTGTATCCAAACAAAATGACTCTTCTAAATAAGATAAGTTTATTGAAAGATGTAATGTAGATTGTATGCTGGAATTTAGCACGTGATCAACGCTCAACAGAATGTTTAAAGCGTATTTTTCGTTAACACCGCTGGCGTGACGGGCCGTGTAACGCATTTTTAAGCACTGCAATGTCGCGATTTATCGCAAAATAAGGGTTGAACTCGAGGTCTTGCGGGCTACTTAAAATCGTTTGACCAGAGATTTGTTTCAATTTTCTGATAGATTGGGGCCTAGTCGAGCCGTAGAGAGTCAATTTGCGAAATAGCGCATTGTAAAAATTTGTATTATTTTATCCCTATAATTTTGAACGGTAAGAATTGTCAATAGGGCCTATTTTTAACAATACATTTTTGGCCACAAAATTTTTACAGCTTTCACAAATTTATCGTCTTATAAGAAAGAAAGGGTCATAAAAACTATTCGTGTTTTTCAAAGCCTGCCAAATCGTTGTGGTTTGACGTACAAGTCAATGAAATTTGTGTAAAATTTCGCTTTACCGGAAGTGGATTTTGAGCTCCGAACGGGCAAAATGAGTTTTCTTGAATTTTAACAAAAGAACACGTTATTTGGGAAAACTAACCACAGCATGTTTCATAACTCATTAAAGGTTATCGATGAGCCAAAAATGAGTGAAATCAAATTTTGAACTTGTGCTAACCGTGGGTCGATATTTACGGATTGTCGCCCTTAATGATGTCGGTAAATTCACGAAAATTTTCCGCTTCTCTTTATGGCTTCCCCACTATTTGAACATTTAAAACAGGCTAGAAAAACTAGAAACAGTAAGGAATTTGTCTATCATGTACGTTCATAGCAATAGGACATTGTACACATTCTTTGTTACTGTCACTTACAGCTTAGTTCCACCAGTTTAGTTCAGTTCAGTCTACGCACGTAAACATACAAAAATAGAATGGTAAGGCTGTTTACAAAGTTCTGCTTACTGAGATGGATCAGTGTAACCAACAGAAATGTACAAGTCGTACATTCACGTTTGAAGGAATGTGATGGCTGTATGGCCCTTGCAAGCACTGTCATCGTATCTGATACAAATCAAAAAGTGTGAATCAATTAAGTTAACTAACAGTTTAAAAGTGAAAATTAATGAGATAATTGTATGGCCCTTGCTCACACAGTCATCATAAATTGCTCTTATTCACTAAGCACTGGACACTAGACGGGAATGAAATGGCCTACATAAGCAAATGAGTCTTAAGTAACGTTACCCTAAGTCTTGGATACAGATTAGAAGTGGATTGATGTAATCAACAGAAATGGACTACCGTAACTAGAATAAAGGAAATGGCTGCTTAGCCTTTGCTCACACAGTCGACTTATAATATAGGCCTCACTAATGCAATCTATTTACAAGAAAAAGCGTATTCAAGATTTCTTTATTTAGGCACACAAACCCAGAATAAAGACGCGTTTAACAAACATGTTTGACGAACGCCTATCGTACGCACGCAAGACGGATGCTTTGATTTATGATCCGTGTTTACTACTGATGGGAGTTAATCTTTAATTTTTAGGTTTTCTCATTGATCAGCATCTCTCTTGGAAACCACATATTGATTTCGTCTCAAAAAAAATCTCGAAAAGTGTGGGAATTATTGCGAAAGCCCGCTTTTACCTATCATCCCAAACTTAGATGACCTTGTATTACTCCCTTGTATATCCTTTCTTAACATACTGTAATGTCGCCTGGTCCTCCACCTACTGTTCCAACCTAAACTGTATTTACCTTTTGCAAAAGCGTCTAGTGCGGATCATAACAAAAGCTCACTATCTAGCAAATACCGCCCCTTTATTTAGCCAGCTTAAGGTCCTTGACATATTTAGTATTAATTCATTTTTGTCGCTACTTTTATGTATTCTTATCACCATAATCTTTTGCCCAGTAGCTTTTGTGACTTGTTCTTAAGTAGTAATCAAGTCCATCAATACGAAACTCGACTAGCCTCTGGGTATAGACCTCATTTTTGTAGAACAAATATAAAGCAATTCATGCAGTATCCTTTACCAAGGACCTAAAATCTGGAATTCGTTGCCTATTTCACTAATTAGCTCTCCTTCTATATTTGTTTTTTAAAAAAATTAAAGAATTATCCCACTGATAGCCGATCTGTCGCTTAATTTTCTGATCTTGCTCACTCTGCACTCAGCCGTGAATTTAGTTCATTAGGTAGTTGAAGGAAGCCTATTGATATAAGCTTCAAGCTTCATTAGGCTTCCTTATCACATTAAAATAAATAAATAAATAAATAATAAAATAAATAAATCTTTTTGCAAGAAAAAGCGCGTTTAAGATATCTCTATTTCGACGCACCAACTCAACATAGCAGCATAAAAACGCGCTTATGATCCGTGTTTACTACTGATGGAAGTTAATACTCGCATCAAAATAGTATAAAACACGCTTAACGAACGTGTTTAACGAACGCCTATCACACGCACGCAAAGAGATGCTTTGATCAATGATACGTGTTTACTACAGATGGGGACCGGTATTCTTTTATACCAATAATTAAAGAAAAGGGGCGTTCGTCTTTACTTTATGTTATTAAGCGCACAAGTAAACATTGTAGTTTACAAACACGATTAACGATCCAACGCGTTAACGAACACCAAAAGGATGCTTTGATTTATGATACGTGGTTAGTACTGATGTGAACTAACTTTTTTTATACAAATATTATACAAATTTTATTTTATGCAAATTAAAGAAAAAGGGCGTTCGTGATCAAGTTTTCTCTATTTTCTTAAGCGTAAAAACACGTACACTTTACGGTTGAGCATACTTAAAGTTATTTCGTAACCTCGCTTATTGAGACGTTCATGATTAGATAGCTAGTATTTTATATTCATAGTATTTTTGCCGTTCATCAAGTTTAAAAGTAGCCTCCTGCGCAGCAGTTTTTAATGTCGGCTGCGCAGGAGGCTACTTTTAAAAGTTACGCCAATTTGTTTTGTTCAGGCTGATATCAGTAGTTAATTAGGATGATTCATAGTTTGAAAAATAAATGGAAATTGTCAGTGGTTCTACACAGGCTGACTCCGTCTTCTGTAACGACTGAGATTGTGCGACTGACGAAAGTCATTGTGGCAGTTACACTACCGTCCAGGTCAAGATATTAGTCTACTTTCAAAATTTCAGTTACGACGAAAAACACTCAACTGTTAGCACCTCCCAAATTGAAAAAAAAGACGATTGAGATCACAGTTTGGAGCTCTCCAACGAATAGTCTCCTGACCTTGAAATTCTTGTTTGAACAAAAGATTTGAAGAAATTTGAATGTCAGCTGACCATTTGGAAAACTCCAAACGGTCATGTGAGTTAATCGATCAATTCAAAATGGGATCGACCGTTTTTTCCCAGTGCTAACAATATCACTAATTAAAATTGATTTGCCCTCTACAAAATTTTCCTTTAGGAACCAGCTCAGCTCAACTTCGTCATCATGGTAGAAGAAACTCGGCAACTCTCCCCAAAGGAGCTCCTCGTCTATAAAGACTTGAATAATGCAGTTACAATAGAAGACATTAACAAATCAATGTCAGAAAAAGAAGTAGATTTTAAGTTGGTGGATGATTACCTGTTTAGAGAAAAAACGTCGAAGACATTGGCTGGACTGACAATACAAAAGGCATCGAGTGGATGGCCAAGAAATCGGAAGGAAGTGCTTCAGTTACTGAAGATTCAGGTTGAGAAAAAGGCAGATTTTCCCCGAACGTTGGCCGTCGAAAGCAAACGCCAAGCGCCTCGTAATCACCTGAAAATTTTACTGGAAATCACCTTTTCAGAAAGTATTGTTGCTTTGGAACCGGAACCAGACGCTGGGAACAACAATAACCTCGATTTGGAAGAAATTGCCGCTAAAGCTACGGAAAACGCACGTTTTCTCTGGGCTATAGATGGTTTGTATCATTACTATTGCTACAAAAAGAATCAGAATTCAGTGCCAGCTGCCCCAAGTGGTCAATACAAGACTCTCGAAATCAAAAGAAAAGAATTGCAGCTCCACAAAATCGAAGCTGATCCATATTTCCGTAGCTTGAAATGGCTTCTGGAAACAGGCATTCTTCATGAAGGTGACAAGGATGACCCAAATCCCAAGAGCAGGTATGAATATCAACATATTCCAGGGAGTGGAGAACTGAATTTACTGGCTGATGACATCATCCTAGGAACACTACAGCTTGTTTCTGACATTAGAGATGAAATACCAGCCACTGATTCTTTCCTCAAGAGAGAATATCAACAGCTTTCCGACCAGGCAGAAGAATTCGCTGTGGCACTAATTGATGAGGTTCAAGACGAAAAAGATCTTTCTGCAGTCATTATGATGGAAGATAAATTCATTGGAGACGATACCTTCAAAGATTCGTTGAGGTGGACAAGAGAAGGAAATGTTTCATTGATCCAACATGCCATCAATCTACGATGCAAGGCTGTAAGTATTCATTCATGAACTTGGCTAGGGGGTGTTACTTTACTACCCCTTTCCCCCTTCCCAACATTTTGAAAATGCACCAAAAAACATATCAGTCCTTTTTACACCGAGAGGAGAGGAGAGGATAATTTTACACTGAATCATGTTTATAAACAAAATTTACTTTCGTTTTTCCAAATTAAGTTTGTAGTGAGCAAGAACTGCCAGCATCTGCTTAAGAAAGTGGTATTTGGCCAATCGTCATACAGATTTTGGGATAAAGCAAGAGCCATGACAGACACAGGGATGCTGTCACTTTTGATTCTTTTGGGGAAGGTTATTCTAAGTTTCTTTTGTGCTGCGTTTATGACTGTCCTCGCGGTTCCAGTATACGTTGTTCTCTCGCTTGTCAGTTTGTGCCCGAATGATAAGTTGTCTGCCTGTAAACGTTTTGAGTTGTTGGAGCGCCCATGCCAGAGATTTCTCCTTGAACTATGGTGGTTCATAGGCTTCCTGAGTCTTATCATTATTACATCATGTGAAAAGAATTTCAGTCAAAGATTGCCGTCTTGTTTGACCTTGTCAGGTAAACACATCTTATTCTCGATATCTTCCCTTTAGTAGCATTGCGATAGTGTGAGAGTTGGGTCAAAGGGCGCGCCCGTTGTGGCTCAAAATTTCCCACCAAGTCCCCGGAGAGATCGATAGCCATTTCTCAGAGGCCTTTTACTGTCATTTGACCTTTATGATTGATTTACCTGGTGAATTTCTTATGCGATACTTATTTTGCTTTAAAACAAAACATCATCATCATAGCATTACCTATCATCCTCATTCGTTTTGATTGTTATACTATTACTAAAAACGGTGTCTGGGATTAGGTTCTCTTTTTTATTTACTAGGGGTGGGCGCATAGACCAATCACGGACTTCGTGTTTTATTGTTGTTCCGCCATGTATTCTTCCTTGTATAATAAATCTGTTAACAAAGTAATAAGCAAACAAATTAATCAATCAATCAATCACCATCATTATTGTCATACCATCATCATCATCGTCATCATCATCACCACCACCATCATCATTATCATCAACGTTACCACCACCACCAACATCATCATCACCATCATCACAAGCATCACTATTACCATTACCGTTACCATCATCATGACCATCATCATTATCATCATCATCATCATCATCATCATTATCATTAACCTTACCATCAGCTTCTTCACCATCATCATCAGCATCATCATCACAACAGTTAATTTTTATTTTCTCTTGTCAGATATTTTCGTGTTTGTTTTCGTGGTAGCATTTTCGCTTCGACGCTTCATCGCTATATGCCATAATTATTGTCCAAATCCATGTCACTGGCGAAACTGGCGCTTTATTCCTCCAGAACTCCTCACTTTTGTCGAATGTGCCAGCTTGGTCTGTTTTATTACAGCGTTTTCGATATGGATAACACGATGGCATCATCTACATGGATGGCGACCATCAGATAAATACTACCAATTGGTTGACGTTTTTTATTCCTTGGCATCGTTACTTAGTTTCTTCAAGCTGGCCCATTATCTTAAGGTTAGGGAAATTATTAACTCAAATTTAAAATAAAGTGGAGAAAGGAATGGATTGGTGGATGAATAGGGGGCAATAACAAATAAACTGTTGGTACTTTTTCCCCTAGGCTCATCATACTTTGGGCACATTGAATCTGTCTCTCTACATGATGATCACGAAAGATGTCATATATTTTGCAATCATCTTTGTGGTGCTCCTTTACATTCCTTTTGCGACCGCACTGGAGAAAATGTATTCATACTACGTCGTGGACAGTGACAAGAATGCAACTCACCCACTAGCCAGGTAGGCGGCTAATATAGAAAAGTCTTCCTGCGACTGTGAAAAGCTCGAGGCACGAACGTGGTCGTGAAATGATATAAGGTAATACAAATCCTGAAAACAGCATGATCAAGGCGCCCAATCTCCATCCAGTCAAATGTCCTATTCAAATATGTAGAACGCGACTCACCCACTAGCCAGGTAGGGTAATTATTATACCCGGCTAAAAGGCCAATATGTAACTTAAACTAAATTTGACGGATAACGACACTTATGTTTGTACTTCTCAGTTCTTAACCCTAATAGGCAGTTTCCTTGACGTTCGAATATAAAATTTAGAATTTGACTGATTTTTTTGAAGCGAGGAAAATTGGAGAACCCATGAAAAAACCCTCGAAGCACAGATGAGAATCAAAAAATGCAAATCCATTCAGTCTTTTCAGGTTTCGTCACAACGTTTCTTTTTTTGTCTTTCAGCTATACGAGAACCTACGATGACTTGCTTTGGGCAATGTTGGGATCAGACGAGAAGGAAGAGGGTGAAATCAGTGATAATCGTTATGCCTACATTAAGAAATTGGGGGAGGGATATCTCATCATGTTCATTGTTGCTGCTGTTGTTGTTGCGTTTAACATGTTAGTCGCCACAATGAATCACACTTACGAGAACATCATGGTAAGTATACTTAAGTCATTTGAAGTGTTTCCGCGCTCGAAACAAACGGTTCTGAGTTATATGTAAAGCAACGTGTACTGCCGTAACATTGAAATGGCTTCCCGTAAGAATGGTTCTCGTATGAGAAAAAAAAGGGAAACATACGGTTCTGACTTACAGCACGTACACGGTACGACATGCCATAACGTTGAAGTGGCTTTCAGTGTCTTCCAGGTATTCACTGAGAACACGTAGTTACGGCATATGAATAGCACTGCAGTACGACTACACCTATTTATCGTATCGTTTCCCACTTATACGAAAACCACACTCTAAAGCAAAACCTATACTCCCTAAATCGTTCCTATTCTAATCTGTGTGTTGTTAGCTTTTTCTGTATTTTGCATTTTCTGCATTCCTTGTCGCCTGGCACTTCTTCCAAAATAATCTTCATGTAAAGACTTGACGCGACATTAATATTTTATAATTATATTATTTAGCGGAACGTCCACAAGGAGTACATGTTTTCTCGCACGAGGATGTGGATGGAATACATCGCTAAAGATTACTCGTCCCTGCCTCCACCTCTAAATCTGGCAGACTTCAAACGTTGTTTCAAGTGCAGTTGTACGGTAATGCATTCTGTTGTTATCATCATCCTCATCCTCATCCTCATCCTCATCACCATCATCGTTATCTTCATCACTATCATCAACATCGTCATCACCACCACAACTATCATTATTACCGTCATCTTCTTCGTCATCATCATCATTGCCGTTATTGAAACATTTCCCCTCTTTCTTCCAGGCAAGAAACGAGGCATCTCAAGAAGACCGCTTCAAGGTAAGCAAAAAGAGGTAAACGAGTTGTTGAAAGTTGTTATATTCAGCCATCCCTCCCTCCCTCCCTCCCATCCTATCATGTATAATTATCGCTAACATCTTTTATCTTCCTCTCAACCCCACAGAGGATTTCCATAATCAAGCGTCTTGTGTTCCGATATCTGCTCCGATCCTTGGGACTCAACAACTCAGAATATTCTCACGATATTCTAATTCAAAGTCAAAGCAGCGCTAGTCAGTCACCCCCTGTAGTTTAGGACGTAACGAATCATGCATAACCACATGCGCACACAGTTTTGGCTGAAATCAAGAGCGTTGCCTCACACTGCTGTGGTTGTGGGTTGGATGTACGCTAAAATTAACTTGTATTAAATTCCAATAGGCCACGTGCGAGATATTAAAATTCAAGCACGATACCGGGGCTCTCAGGAATATAATGACCAAAATTGCATTGAAATTCAAGAGGATCAGTAGATGTAGTGCTTAAAATTCAGTTATAACGTTGTTGAGTAGTGAACGGGCTAATATTCCTATCAAAATTTACCAAAAGGTAGGAACGTCGTACGTGGCACATTATCTTAAATTGAAAGATAGTCCGAGAAGCGTTGTTCTCATACTAAAGATTTCAGTAAAACAAAAAAACAAGGGAGACAGGATATCAAAATTATTAGTTTCATTCCTCTCGACTCAAAGTACAAGGCAGAGTAAAATAATATATATAAATAGTTGAACTAGAACTGTAGAGGTTCACGACTAGCTTTCAAGCCCGTGTACATGACGTGTTTGAGTTTCTTGATACAATAGGCCTCTTTGAACAGTAATACATTCCAATTATTGTGAGAGTCGAGAATAGATGTATTGTACGTCCCTAACGTAAGTACGAAGGCGTGGTTACTTAACCTTTCTGATGATGACTTAGTAATTATAGTAATTTTGATATCCTGTCTCGGTTGTTTTTGTTTTTCTGAAATCTTCAGTATGAAAACTACGCTTCTCGGATTAGCTTTCTTTTTATTTTGGCTGAAACTTTCAGCGGGAAATGGTTTTTGTACATTATCTTATTGCTGCCATATATATGTATTTGATGATCCACTTGTTTCTACATACATGAAGTATCATGCTAATGAAGCCTCGCAATCAAGTCTGAATTTTAATATCTCGTGACCTGTTCGATTTGTTAATTGGAGCTTTTTTAACCGTTAATTAGACGTGAAAAAGAGTTAGGAGTAAGTAAGTAAGTAAGTAAATGATAAGAATGAATTTATACAAAAATGAAACATGCTAGACTCAGTAAAAATGATGAACAATGTGTATGTTCCAGGGCACTCAACGAGAATATAGTTCAAAACCACTTAAACGTTGTTGAACGTATTTAGTGATTTAAACGGTAGATATAGGCATATTTTTATCCCCTAAAAATTTTTCATCTGTTTGTATTTCCTAGCTGAAACTCTAGTGATCCGAAAATAATAGGGATCAAAACGTTTCGAAAATTTCAGCCAGAAAAAAGGCAACCAAAAATTCTAGGTGACCTTTTTAGCGTAAAAATCCGTTAAAAATGGGCAATTTTACCATTTTTTAAATGTTCGAAAATCCTAGGAGAGGCAGGCAAGCAAGTAATTTTACAACAAATGTTCCGAAAATTCTAGATCTCAAATCGTCTTCCCAACAGACATTTTCCAAAAATTGACGTTGAGAGTGCCCCTGTTGTTCTAGAACGTCTTCTGTTTTAATTCTAGAATCAACAATAACTCAATATGATTGGTTCAACCTTCCCTGGGAGTGTTGCTAATGTTGGCACATATTTCGGCTCCAGGCTGACAGTAATACCCTCCTAAGTGATCATGCTTTTTGGGTTTGCGGGTCGATATGATAATCAATGTAATTTGGATAAAAATTGATGTACAATAGTGAAAAACTCCAGATAAAATATGTCTGTCTGTCTATCTGTTTTGTCCTCAAACAAATAGACCTTGTCACGGTTTTCCACGCCACCTTGACGAGTAGGCAAACGTGTGAGAAGTGACTGTGTTTGAATGAGAATCTAATGTCGAATAATTTCCGTAAAACGGCTGTTCTGAAAAAAATTGGCCTTGCAAACTGAAGCTACAAAACAAAGGATTGTACTAAAAAAATTTGGGGGGCGTACCTGTGCTTAAATTTCCCCCAGAGACTTGCTTTAGATTTTCCATATATTGGTCTGTAATTTTTCCCGGGACTTTCATACAGACAAATGTACAGAAAATTTAACAAAGTGGTGCTAGGTCTTCTAGCGCATCAAAGCCCTCTATTTTTAGGAGTAAAGCTTTGGTTTACAATTTAATAAATATTTTTTCAGAACAGCCGTTCTACGGAAATTATTCGACATTAGATTCTCATACAAACACTGTAATTTCTCACGCGTTTGCCTTCTCGTCAAGATGGCGTCGAAACCGTGACAAGGGCTGTTGAATAGATCTCCATAAATTCTCCGAAGGGAGGGGGAGGGAAACCACAGATTTTGACCTTGACCCTTAGAGAAGTTGAAAGGCGTGTAAACCAAAGGTGCTACCGATAGCAAGAAGGAATTATGTTTACAAGAAGCGATAAAAAGCCGCACCTGTTAAAAAGTTCTTGAATTAGCGATACTGACAGGCGTGTGGAAGAAAGGCGGTGCTTGTGTCAGCCAAGAAGCGATAAAAAGCCTTACCTGTTATAACATTTTGGTACTTACGAGAAGAAGCTTAACACGTAACAAGGGGGAAACTGCAGAAACTGATAGGAACTGCATGAGCTTAGGTAAGTTTACTTCCATAAACAATGTTTTTTTGTTGTTATTAAAGATTATTCATATGCACCCCCACTCCTAAATAAAGAAAAGCTAAGACAAAACGGCAGAATTTTTTTAGTGAAAAAATCCAATTCAAATCAAAGTGTACGTATTATTAACCAGAGCACTTGTTTTGGTAAGGAAAGTTAGGCGAAAGCAGTTCTCATTCGTGAATTTTTCTATATATTTTTTTAATCTCTCCTTCGTTCATTATTTTTTCTTTTCTTCATGTCAGTTATTTTTCCCCCCATTTTTTCTTTCTTTTGTTTTGCTATTGTTCTAAGGACGGAATCCACCAGGGAATTTAGTTATTTCAATATTAAGTGGACAAACGCCTTGTACCAGAATAATTTAAAGCATATTGCACCCTTTTTACATTTTTCAAGGGCTAAAGATGCAATAATTAATCATTTGTAATAACACCAAAGAAAATTTCTTATTGAGAAAATGAACGTCAAAGAAAGTCAAATTTCACAAAATTACACCTTACACATTAAATTTTCAGAATTTTACCTGTGTTTTCACAATTCTTGTGAAATATGACATTCATTTTCTAGGACTCCAATAAGAAATTTTATCTTATTACAGACTGATTAATTACATCTTTAGCCCTTGAAAAATGTAAAAAAAAATGCAATATGCTTTAATTTATTCTGGTATAGTACAAGGTTTTTGTCCACTGAATTACTCAATTTCCTGGTGGATTCCGTCTTAGTATTTTTTACACTTCGGTTGTATTGTGTGTTGTTTCGTTTCGTTTTGTCTTTTTCTGAGTTTGTTTGGGATTTTGTTTTGGATTCGCGTGATGTTCTTGGTTTCACACCGAAATAATCTGGAATGGAATATATTTCAAAAATGTCAACGCGTTACATAATTTTTGCATCAGTGAAACGAACTGGGCGTGCATACATTATATTTGTCACAAGAGAAAAATAACAAGCACTTTCGAAAAGCACTGTCCCATCATGGCTCTTGATACGTATTTTTGTGCATCGAGTATAAACAAATTCGAAATCATGCACGCATTAATCCTAAAAACGTGTACAACTTGCGATGCAGAAACGCTAAGGCTTTATTGTGTACCGCACTCGCGTGGAACAACACCAAAAGAAATACCGCGCTCGCGTGGAACAACACCAAAAGAAATACTAGTTTTGAAGAAACTAGTTTAACCGTTCAGCTTTTAAGTTAATGGTATATTTTTAAATATAAAATGATGCTGGTGAAAAATGAAAAAGTACAGACCCCTTACTAATACCAAAGCCAAAATGAGTAAATTTCACAAAAAAGTGTAAGCAATTTGGGATAAGAAATAGATTTCACATTTTTTTGTCATCTAAATTTATCGAGCTTCGTTCAGTATGTAGCGAGATAGGATTCAGTTAACTGAATATTTTATATTGACAAATCGATCGGTTAAAGAACAAAAACATTTTGCAGGTGGTTAACCTGTTCCATCTTCTTAAAGTTCTGGCCCCAGGTGTTCGAAAGCTGGATAGCGCTATCCATCGGATAAATCCAATTAGTAAAACAAATTGCACTATATAGTAGATAGCGCTATCTACCTTTTGAACAACTGAGACCTGGTTAAAGAGGCACATGACTATATTTTAATTAACTAAAGGGCAAGGTCAAAATAATGGTCCAAAATAGAGAACCGACCGATTTTACTGATTTGGTGTCACAGGTTAGAGCGGTTTTCACTTGACTGTCGAAAGTAATTGAGGAATTGGTTTGGTTTTGGTTTTACTACGCCCTTTGGTTGGCTAGTGTATTTACTTTGGTTTTGGTTTTACGACAGTCAAGTGAAAACCGCTCTATATACCTTGTCGTCTCTCCTCGGTTTGAAGACTTGTTGAAATGCTCGATAATGGATGTCCATATAGCTAAAAAATATTTTTTACAGCTATTTCAGAAAACGTTACATACTGCTGGAATACTGCATACTGATCAGTGTATTCCAAGACCGAAATACATTGTGGGTCAAATTGACATTCTCTATAGTAACACAAATAGTAGTAATTTTATTTTTAGTGCATTCCATCTGAAACAATATACTAGCTACACATATGGTAAAGAGCAAATCGCTGTATATTTACTTTTTAAAATAGCTAATATAATGGCACACATGCAAGCAGAACTATGAGTGCCACCTCCTCGCACCTCCTCCCTTTCCCCTCCCGTCCCCCTCCCCTCTAACTCGATCTTATCCCTAATCAATATTCTACCCTATGAATCCATCCACAGTGGACACCAAGATGCAGTTCATTTTATTCTTCATCTCGGTTGCTTTCAACGTGTATCAAACTATTGAAGCCCAGGGATACAAACCACCAGTCAGTCACTGGCAAGTTCAAACGTTGATGGCCCTAAAGAAACTGAAAGATCAACTACCAGAAATCAAAATCCCCCAAGACAAAGGCCCGAATCCGTACCAAGACTTTATCC